TTCTCTTGTTTTAAGAGACAGGCATGATGTGAGCCCAGAGAAGCTCTTTAACCATGCTCGTAGAGGCTGTGGCATTTTATTTTATCAGGGAAGAAAGGGAATAGTAGCCTCAGACCCCAAGGCACTTACCCAACAAAGCAACTATCTGTTCATATGGAAAAGTCAGGTTGGATTTGGGACCCTCTTTTGCTAGGGGAAGGGTCACTGGGAGCTCCTGCCACCTTTGAGTTTAGGAAGCAGTCCTTTGAATTTTATTTTCTGGTTTTATTGTCTGTTGCCATGAAGTTCACTGTGCGAAGAGCAACCTTTGCCTCCAAGTGTCTTTATCACCGGCGGATGTCTCCCAGTCACCGGCTCAGCATGCACACATGGAAATGCGTTGTGTGCCTACAGATTCATTCTTCCTTAAACAGAGCTGAGAGCCCTGCACCCTATTGTACCTGAGGAAACCCCGCACCCCCATGTGTGAGGGGTGGGGCATGGAAGGAGAAGCTTGGGGTAGGAGGCATGTCCCAGCCAGCCTGTGCCCTTTGCTCTCTTTTCGTCTGTGATTGCAAATGTTACTGGTCTGTACGAGATGGCTGCCCATACATTCTGGTCCCACTTTCTTAAAAAACATTATTAAGAAGGTGCATATAATGAAACCTCATGTATTATTAACCTAACCTTCCTATGAATGTACAAGGAATAGGCTTAATTCAACTAAAATTTATAGGCAATTTGTTAAAGCAGCAGTGCCCATTAGAAGGTACATTAGAGCCACATTGGTTTTAATATGCCATTCAATAACTTGAGCAGAGGTTAAAAATGCTGCTTAACCTCCATTAAGTATTTTAAAAATGCCTTAATTTAAAATTATTTGGACTGTGTGTACATATATGAATGTACACATACCCACACTCATAAATATAGCACTAAATATGTTTCCCGGTCTGTGTTTCCAGTGCTGGATGACCTCGTAACGCTCAGCAGCAGGCACTTAATCAGAGGCCAGGCCGAGAAAGGCAGGAAGGATGTCAAGGCGTCCCCAGCCAGTGACCCACCCTTGTCCTTGAGAACTAGAGGCAGAGAGGGTTTATCGAGGACTCTGCAGCTTCAGAATAAAATAACGGCTAATTTATAATGAAAACAGCTTCATGTGACATGTTTTGTGCTAATAGCGCCATTCCTCATGCTTCCCTCTGGTATTTACTTTTGGTTTTGTTTTATAATTCATCCAGACTATTAGAAAGTAAAATAAACTATCTTGTTTCATTAAGAAGCATATCATATTTGTTAAGTAATGAGCTCGTAAACCAGAATTGCATGCAAGACCCGCCAATGGAATTGGAATTAGATAGCCGATAGTCCCCATTAAAACCCAGTCCTTAGAGCTGAGACCTGACTCTGCCTGGTGTCCTACTGTGAAGTCACACAGCTCTTCAGAACTACACATGATTAACAGAGAGACCTGACTCCCAGAATAAGAGTCTTTTCCTTAAAAACAAAACAAAACAATAACAACAACAAAAAACACCAGGAATCATCATGGGAACTGTGGACAATAATTGTAAGCACTTCTGAAGGGAAAGGATATTGACCAACCATTGTTTAGAGACTATCACACTTTCATAGTCAACTGCCTAGCAATAAATGCTGGTAATAGATATTATTTATGAGTGTCTACCCTTTGCCTGTCCTTATAATAGGGTTCTATCTAAAAGATTCCAATTAGAACTATAATTTTATGATAGGACAGATATTACTAATCTCTCATAGTAGAGGAAATGTAATCTGATTAATAAAGATCTATTACAAATTGAGGTTCATCTGTCCCCAGATACTGCAACCTGACAGAATGAGACTTTTAGTAAATAACTCACAGTTTGTCATGTACAGTCATTCAACAGGTGAATATAGACGAACATAGGTACTGGTACAGGTGGAACTTTCCAGTCCCCAAGATAGTCGTCTCAACTCATAAAATCCCATTTGTTGTACACAATCCAAATAATGAGCATAAAGTAAAAGTTAACATCTGAAGCAACAGTAACCAAAAGAAGAGTTAGTTGGTTTAGAAACAGGATTATTTCCACTAAATCGGAAATATTTTTGAGCTGATCACAAAGGCACAGAAGAGATATGTTAGAGTATATACACTCATAATTATTGAAACAGAAAAATTGGAATAAATGATGAATATTTAACTGGGTCTTATAAATACACATCTTTATCTGTGATCACAGCTGTTGATATGGTTTATCTGCTGATGTGGTTATTAGAGTTTATTCTTAGAGAACATATTTTTAGAGCTCTTCCATGGATAGTTACTGAACTTAGAAAATTAGGTTTTCTTTAAAGCAGAGAAGTACTATAATGTTTCCTTAAATGAGCCTGTTGTGATATCCTTTGTTAGAAACACAGGAGCCCTGGTCTGGGGGTAACATTTTCTTTCTGAAGTTCTGTTTCACCTGTCTATATGGAATTATCTGCTGCTCAGTTCTGACCAATCATTCTCCTAACTCTCAGTTTCTGTTTGCCTTCTTCCTTTTCAGTGTTGAGATCCACACCTATTTGAAGGGAAATAGATAATCATCCATCACTCTTCCCATCCACCCATTCAGTCCCCCCCCCACCAAACCATTTTGTTTATGTATGTACTTCTTTCCCAGAAGCCTCTGTGGCATACATTGCCAGGCAGCAGAGACTATGGAGTATGAGATATACAATCACTTGTACATGAGGTCATTATGGTTCAGTAAGGAAAATGGACTCACCACGACTATGAGAAGTGCAGTATTAGAAATGTACAAAACAGTATAGCAGTTAAGGAAAGGGAGGATTGATTCTCTAAGGATAGGGGATGTACAGAACATAGTTCAGAATGTAGTTCCTGAACTGAGTCTTAAAAATAAATAGGAAGTGGCAAGGAACTCTAGGAGCATACAGCAGTGCAGAAAGATGGCACAGGAGCAGGGCCTTTAAAAGCTATCTAACTAATTGAAAAAGAGGTTTGAAATGTTTTTTAAGAGGAATTACACCTTGGGGTAAATAACATTACTATTTATGAGTTATTGATATTTGATGAGCTCGAATAATAATGGTTGCAGTGTGTTGTTTTATACAAAACCATCAACCGAAGGTACATGGTTACTGTTTGAGAGTAAGCATTGTCCATAAAATATCCATCTGAACATACTGATTTGTAAATCATCTCTATAATCTTGATGCTCTGTGTAGATGAGCTGCAAATTCCTCCTTGGACTCTTAGTATGTCCATTCTCTGGCTTAAGGTGAGAGTCATTTCTTCTAAATGGCTTATAATTAGAGCTTAGCCTCCTTTTCCAAGTAAGGCCTAGAGGTTAAACTTGTTTTCTTTCTCCATTTTAAGACCTTGGCAAAGCCTAGTTGTTCATGGTTCTCAGGAGGGACATTGCCAGTGAATGGGCTCTTCCTTTATGCTCAGGACAGGAACTGTGCTGTGCAAATAGCCACGACAGGAGATTACACAAGCTGCCTTGTTAATGACGTTGAATTCTAAGAACTCTGTAAGCCTTCTCCTAGATAAAGTGATGGCATTTTATGATACAGGTGACTTTTTGCTTTAGTTGCATAATACGTTGTTTTCCACCAGAGACTTGTCATGTTGGGGACCAGGAATTAGCTGAAATAAAACTGGAGGAAAATAATAAAGTTTAGTGTGCTGATCTGTGCTAGATATGTGTAAACTCTCAGAACCTCCTCATCTCAGGTAATGGCATTGTCCTAATGACGATGACTAAGAGTGTGGTTCAAAGTCCTTCATGGAAAGAAATCTCAAAATGATCCGTTCAAATGATACAGGTACAAACATGTGGAACATGAAGTGGAGTTAATGGTGAGAGAGCAGAAATGTATTGAGTTAAGACAAGAAATTAAGGTCAGTTATCTTTAAGCTACACTTAGGAGTTGAAGTTTAAGTAGGAGGGAAGGGGAAATGGTGTTTTCTATAGATGGAAGCCATAAAAGGAGAGGTAATGGTCTAGAATTAGACACATTCAGGTAAGGCAAGAGGTAATTGTTGAGCAGGAAGGCACCTGAGTCATCCTAATTAGAACTGCTTAAAAATAGGACAACTAAAATACTGGCGAGATTAACCTTTATACTCACGCTCCTGAGAGGAGGAAGGGAATTAACCCCAAGACGAATCCCAGTGCAGTCTCTTTCTTGAAGCCCTCTGGCAGCTCATGGCCCCCTTACAAGCTTCAACACAATTTTTGTTCTCCTCTGTGCATGGCTGATTCTACAATAGCATTCCTTATTCTCCAAATTTTGAACCACCCACTCTTCTCCAACAAAATGTCCCCCTATCTAATAAACCATTTCTTATGAAAAATCATCCCTAATTGTTCTAGAATTCTTTGCAGCTCGAAGCAACTGCAGTAAGTCCAAATTAATTGTAAGTAATTGTGCTAATGGGTAACTCATCCAAATTGGAGAGCTGTTAGTACCTTCATGATGCCATCATCATGAATGTGAGGACCTCGGAGCCTTCACAGGAAGAAAAAGACATAGAATCACAGCCACAGTGGTCTTGGATCCAAAAAGGAAGCCTGAGTTTTTTACTCTGATTGCATGATGAGTTAGGTACAGAAATAAATACAAATTGGCATGGCCATACCCTATTTCTAGAAATACCCACCAGGTGAATTGCTGGCAGTGAGTGCAAAGCAGCAAGGGGACAAAATCCAATTGTAAGCTCTGGTGAAACATAGCAGTATTTGTTAGTTCCTTTAAACTGAATGGCACAGTTTTGAACTGGTGCTTTTTGTATGCATGGAGCATAATCTTCATGTTGTGCTTTTTTGGAGGAATTTTTTTTCCAAGTTTATACATTTTTTAGTTTGTGTGTGTGTGTGTGTGTATACTGGAAACTGGGTGGTTTGATAGAATTCTGGTTTCCATGTCATCAGAACATTATCTCTCTTAGAGAAGATTGCACAGAAGGTTGGATGAAAATGGTTCATTTCTTTTACTTCTAGGTTTTTATATGTCTCCAGGCAATGCTACAAGCTTCCTGCCATGTTCATGCCATAGCACTGGGGCAGCACATCCTGTCTGCTGTAGCCTGACCAGCCAATGCCTTTGTCAAGATGCTTCCGTCACAGGGCAAAGTTGGGACCATTGTAAAGACTTTTACTTTGGATTTGGAAGGTAAATGTATATAGGAATCATTAGATATTTATATTTAATTATATTTGCAATTGCTTTTTGTTTATCAGTGATTTTTTTTTCAGGAGTAGGTTAGTATCTTCTGTAAAAATGTCTTTTGTCCTCTTTAATTTGTTGGTGTGCTTTGACTTTTTGATTTGTTAAACATGATGGCACTTGGAATATTTCTTAGAATTCAGAAGTAAAAGTTTCCATACATGCATAGATGTCACCAGTAGCAGAGCCTGGGAATATAGAACCAGAGTAAAATTATATTCCCTTTAAGAAGTTAACAATTTGAATATGGAAAAGTGAAGTCAAGAGTCTCCATAGAAGAAAACATATGTACAGGCACACACAGAGACACACAATGTGGGCTAGGCTAGCTAGTGAGTATCACATATACCTTATGCTACATGGCCTTTGAATCTATTGCTCAGTTATTAGTGTGCCAGAACTGTTTATGTTTACCTTATCTTTCTAGTGCAGTGTTGAAGAAAAACATGAGAAATACACCTGCATGTTCAGTGACATGGTTTTCTCCCAACAGGTGTAGTCCATTCTAAAAGCAAATCACCCATTTTTAAGTGTTAGCACTGTGCTTATTGTTCTACCTCTTATATAAATTTTGTACATTTGTAGGACTTTGCCTTCATGCATTTCTGTTCATTGCTGTGTTTTTTGAAGGTGTGAATTCTAGTGTCTTTGGTCTGGTGAGATTATAAATCTTGTCTACCTTTAGGACTACATCTGTGAATTCTTTACATCCCTGCCCTCAAGCATCTAGTATTGTATGTTGCATTTAACTGTCAAATTAGCTTCTGAAAAAGTGTGTGCATTTTAAATACAACTGCTGATTTGTAAAGGGTTTGAGATCCCATGGGCTCTTTTCAACTCATCTCCTTCTTGCTGTGTAACTTTTGTCCATTATATCATACATTGATTGCAGTGTGACAGCATATCAAAACACAATGCCAACTATTTCATTTGACTTTCCTATAAAATTCAAGTTGAGGGCCTTCCCTGGTGGCACAGCACTAAGAAGCTAAAGCCACCTCAGCATGAGTTCGATCCCTGCCCCAGAGGTGATCCACATGGCTGGCAGACCTCTCCTGTACTGCCCGCTGCTCCCCTCAGCAGTGGACTTCGTACATCTGCCTGTTCTTTTTCCTACTTTGTCTCTGGTGAATCGTCTCAGTGTTGTTTTCTTAAGTTCAGGCTAACCTTGTCTTAAATTCTTTAAGTTCATTTGTTCTCTCATTATCTGACTACCCCAGTGCCTACCCCAGTGTAACCTAGGGCCAAGAAGTGCCTATAAAGCAGTGTTTTATGTCAGCTCTCATTCTTCAGCAAGGCTGCTTAGCACTGGAAGTGCATTTGCTGGCTTAAAAGCTGGCTTGAAGTATTACTAGTGTCAACTGATGAAGAATAGAAAGAGGCAAAGAAATAAGTAGAAACTACATCATTTGAAGATTCTGAGGTTAAACTCAAGAAGCAGGATTCACTCAGGTAAACTTGATTAGTGAAGGGTGGAGTCTAGGAGATAAAGCCAAAGTGTGAGAAACTAGGTAGAATTTTGAAGAGTTGAGAGATGCAGAGTAATTGTGAGTTCAAAGTAAAAATGTTAATGATGTTTTATATAAATATAATAATCTTTATCTATTAGTAGACTCATGTTTCTATTAAGTAAGGTAAGGAGCAGTCTTTCAAAAATTACAGATTTCCTTTGAAAAGGATAACACCTTCCCTCCATCTTCATTGTTTGTGTCTTCATTTGCCACGTCATTTTCCATTGAGAACCTTATTGGAGGGATGCTAGTTTATCCTCTCTCATCACTCATTCAATTCCTGTTCCAGCATCTCATGCCCATGACCAGCTTGGCTTACTGGGTCACTTGGAAATGGTCTCCTTCTGAATTCTGCCAAGTCCCAGACACACCACTCTTAGGAACAGCTCATCTTTCATGTTTTTATGTCCAACCCTTGCATAATGTTCTCCTAACTTCCAACAAATGTATAGCCATTGGGGCTTCCCTGGTAGCTTAGGGGTTAAGTCTCAGTCCTATCAAACTATAACCACTATAGGACGAGTTTGAGCCTAGACCAGGGAGCTGAGCCACATGGAACAGCAGACTTCTGTCTCGCCTGCTGCTCCCCTGAACAGTGTATTTCAGTAAATCTGTCTGTTCTGCTCTGTCTCTAGTGAATCCTCTCACCTCCCACACCTCTGGCCTATATCCCAGTTATCCTATGCATAAATAAATAAAAATGCATCTTTTACAAAATGTAGCTGTTTCTACTACCCAGGCATCTTTTAGTGAACCTCATTACTAACTCCCCTGCCTTTCTGTCCTAGTCTAGGCTAAAACCACCTCATTCTAACTCCTGAGTAACCTGTCACTGTCATCTTTTCTCCTTTCTACTGTACCTGACTGCTTCTGCCCTTGGCCTTTGAGTATTGAAGGCCATGCGCCTGTGCTCACTTACTGCCCATCCCTTTTCTTTCTCTTCCCCTTTAACCAGTGTAGGTCTAGTCAGTTATCTACTCTTGCCCCTATAGTTAATCTAGCCATCTGTCTAATAGAAAAATAGAGAAAACAAGACGAAATTGCCTTCAGATTATTTTTTCCCCATGCCAAAGGGTGATTTGGAATTGGTGGCATACAAAATGTTTAAAGGTTCATTGAAAGATAAAAGTAAAATTAATTTGTGACAGCATCTTATGACTCATGATTTTTCAGTGTGTTGATCATCCTTCTGTGCTTCTTATTAAAAAAAAAAAAAAATTCCATTTGGTCCAAGATCCTACCTTGCTGATTCGTTCTGTGTCTGAGTCTGGGTCTGTGTCTGTCTGTCTGTCTGTCTGTCTGTCTGTCTGTCTGTCTGTCTGTCTCTCTCTCACTGGTGGTTATTCCTCTTTAATCTGCTTCTTTAACCTGTATATCTATGAATAAGATTTCAGCCACTTCATACAGGTTAACCATTCTCAAATTTATAATTTTCTGCTCAGTTCCCTTCATGGGTTCCAGGCTAGTTGCTAGCTGTCTCTGTGAGTTATGAATCTGAAAGTCCCCAGACATCTCGTCACAGCAAATGCAACTAATTCTCCTATACCTTACTTTCTTTCCCTCTTCCCAAAATAAAAAGTAATGTTATGTCATGATCCTCTTGATGAAAAGAATCATGAAAATAACCATTCAAGTCCACACCCCTCATATGTGATTGGACTCAAGGCCTCCTTAGATTGGGCAGCACTGACTATATTTTGAGAACTGCTACTGGACAGAGCTATTGAAAGTGAGAGCCGCCATATATAATGCAGTGTCTCTGAAGTGAAAAGAAGAAATAAAGCTTTCCATGACCACATGAGGCTCAAGGAAGTGAGCAGGAATTTTCCCCTGCAAAATCAGTCATGTGGAGTGCCCGTGCTTTGTGTTGACCCTTCTATTCCACTGATGAATTCTGCTGTCGCTTTTCACGTTAACATTGACAATCATTAAAGAAGAAATCTGCCAGTACAGAAGGTCATAGAGGAAGATAGTGCAAAATGTGATGATGAGAATTGCTTGAGTTTATACTTCCGCTCATCATTGAGAAGAGATAAAAGTGGGTTCTACCCTTTTTATGTTTTCCATTTCTTTCCTAAATGATATTAAAATCTTTTAGTTGACTTTCTGTATTTCTGGATAGCTACTAACATTGACTATTTTGAAATGTGTCCAGAGATGACCAAAACATACGGGATTTTATTCTATACCAGGATTTTTTGTATATATATTATACACACACACACACACACACACACACACACACATATATATATTTCTTTGTAGAAATCACCTTTACAAAATAACCAGCCATTCAGTTCCTCCTTAAAAACAAACTAAAAAGGACTCATTGCCCTGGGATGTGACTCATTCTTGTTTTACATACTAACTCTTAGGAAAACAGAGATCTGTTCTTCACACTGAGCAGAAATGTCATTCCCACAATGTTCTTGCTTAGTTCCATGTCTACCTCCTGGCTCCACAGAGAGTGAATGTCATTTCTCGTCTACCTGAATGTACTTTAAGAATTCGGATCTCCTATCACACCTCAAAATATTGTATTATACTAATGAGGAAATTATGAATGTGGTACAGGGTTTCCTCTGGATCTGAACGTGGTGCTATTGTTCACACAGAGAATCTCCTAGAGTCATATTTTCTTTAAATATTTGGTCTGGGTTATGACATGTGAGGCATAATCTGCACTCTCTCAGATTAGGTAAAAAGGGTAAGGGTGCCAGACATGGAAGTTTGCAAAGCAAACTCTCCTCCATGTGACGGGGTTGTCACTTGCCAGAAGCTGAAGGCCACAGTCACCTGAATGTCCTGGAATAACTACGCGTTCAGTTCATGAGTCCTTGATTCAGACTGGGAAGCCTCACCAGAGTGTGCCCTGAAGTTGTTAATCCTTCCTTTCAAGATGAGACAATGCCACCTCACTTCCTCTCTAAGAAGCCCTGTGAGACTGGTCTTCAGCTCATGCAAAGAGTATCTCCAAAGCTCTCTCATATCATTCTAATTCTGCTTGCAAGGAAAGCAGTGCTGTTAGTAGGCTGGGAAGGAAACTACGCCCCTCGAGGAGCCCACACTTCCACTGCAGAAATGAAGTGTAATCTTTTTTTTTTTTTAATATTTATTCATACAGAACTGGGGTACAGGCCAGAGATGCAGAGGGAGGGTGAGAGGATTCACCAGAGACAGAGCGGGGAGCAGAACAGGCAGATCGATGAAAAACACTGCTCAGGGAAGCAGCAGGCGGGCCAGGAGAGGTCTGCCTCACCATGTGGATCTCCTCTGGGGCAGGCAGTGATCGAACTCATGTGGCAGAAGTGGCTGAAACTTCTTAGTGCAGTACTTTAACCCGCTGTGCCATCAAGGAGGGCCCTGAAGTGTAATCTTAACCAGGAAAAAACAACCCCTCTGAAAAGGACTTAAGGGTTCCTGGAAACTTGCACCAATGGAAGAAACAAGAACTCTTCAGGCAAGAGAGAGTCAAGGTCAGCAGTGAAGAACAGGATCCTGTCCCTGGCAGGGAAGAGGGGTGTAACCAGGGCGTATCATGACCAAACACAAAGTTTCAGAAGAACACAATGATCGTGGGAGATAAAGGTGATAAGTTATCTGCAGTGTTCTAAGTCATGCATGTATTTATTCAACCATATTGAATGCTTTCTGGGTGCTGCTTTTTGTCTTCAGCAACCAATGGAGGAAAACCTGTTGTCTAATTTCTCTAGTTTTATTTGAAATCTGTTTTTCAAATAATCAGAAATAATTTTTGTCTAAAATCAATTTAAGTTCCCTTCCTCCTTTGACTTTAATCTTGAGTAGTGCCCCCGTTCCTATCTGTCTGTGAATTTTTTAAAAAAAAAATTATTTACTTAAGCATATAGATGTTGGGGCACAGGCCAGAGGTGCAGGGGTGGCGAGAGGACCCACCAGAAACAGAGTGGGGAGCAGAACAGGCCAACTGATGAAGTAGACTGCTGAGGGGAGCAGCAGACAGGTCAGGCGAGGTCAGCTGTGCCATGTTGGTCACCTCCGGGCTGGGGATCGAACTCATGGTAAAGTGGCTTTAGCTTCTTAGTGCTGTGCTTTAACCTGCTGTGCCACCAGGGAGGACCCCCTGTCTGTGAATTTTAAAACTGGGAGCAACTCCATGTCCTTCTTTCCTTATTTTAATTTGTCTGCCCTATCTCTTTATTAATAAAATATATCCCCCAAGACATCCCTGAAACCAAGGCCATGGAGTGTTCTGCCTACATTTTTCTCTATGTATTTCATGGTTTCTCTTATCCAGGTAAGTTTTGAATCCATTGTGACTCAGTTTTTGTGTGTGGTCTGCATGTGATTTTCCCAATTTTCCCATCTGTTTGCCTTTCTAGCTTTATCATCCTTTCCCAGCTATAGCTGAACATGTAAATTACTTATTAATTCACACCCTATCCTGTGTGTCTTTTCTTTCTATTGTCCCCCTGACCTGATCCCATAAAGGGTCCACACCTGTCGTTCTCAGTGTTCTTCCCATTTTTATTTTGCACCAGACTGTGAGTAGCCTGAGGACAGGGGCAACTCTACCTTGGTCAACTTTATGTCTTTAGTGTTTATTCCAGAACTGGAGTATAATTTGCCCTCTATGAGTGTAGCATATGTCAACTAATTAAATCAGCTTGACGGCACCCATGAATTGATGTTCAAGGCACAAGAGAGATGACCAGAGAGAATGCCTCTCTGTGGTCGCCTGTATCCTGGGGCTCACTCCCAGCCACCTTTCATAACTCCCCCACAGATGATGAAGTTTCTGATAATGAAATGGACTCCTGAAACACGCACTTTTCATGAATAGTGATGTTTCTGCAATACTAATAAGTAGAAAATGCTTTCTCTTACTGTTTGCACAACTGGAAGAAACTCCCTAGGAAGGAAAATGTATGAGATTTATGATTTAAGAGACAGGGGCCAATTAACTCCTTTCTCATTGTCTCCAGCAATCACTAAGTTCCAGCAAGATACAAACAGAACTAGAGTGGCCGAGGGAGCGGCGCCGTCCTCCTGTTCACTATAATGAACTGGTCAATAAACATCACAAATTGTTTATCTGTATAAACCTTGACAGATTACTCTTTATGAAATCCATTTAGCAAGTGAGGTTTTCCCATAAGGATGAAAAATGAAGATTTTAAACAGATTGCGGGAGAAGCTCTGGCTGTACCAGGAGAGTCAGTGTAATAAAGGTTTCTTTATATTAATATTACAAAAACCATTTATCCTGACAAAATCAATATCACAATTCATCTTAGTTTGGTGTTTCTCTATCTAAACTTAAAATGTCTTTTTCTTTATTATGTATAATTTTGTTTTAATAAATGTGAAATATATTTCATTTGGGAGGTGCTCTGGAGGAGAGGGATAACTTATAAAATGACATCAGACTTGTAGCTTATTTGCTAAAGAGTCTTGGAAATGCTTAAGATCATATTTGAGTAGCTGAGAACTTGACAGGAATCATTTTACTTAAGCCTTAATTGCAAAGTTATCCCCCGACTCCCTTGAGCTATCAAGGAATAAACAAACTGGAATATTCAAAAAGTCTCCAATAAACTTCATTCAGATAAGATTCTCTCTCACTGAACCCCAGCAATTATAATAAGTCAGATAAGTTGAATATAATAGTGGCTGGGATAAGGGACTATACGATCATAAATAGTCACATTTAATTACTCAAAACATCATATGCTTTCCTAAGAAGCAATTTATCTATTCCATTTAGAATGGGAACTTAATATCCCATGGATACTGACAGAGCTGACTTGGAGTTAAGTGTGTAGCAGTTAGATGGAAGAAAATAGAGCTACATTAAAGGAAAGAAATTATGTCATACATTGGAAACTATTACTCTAAATGCACTGCATGTAAAATAAGTGGGGTAGTCTCAGGAGTGAGTGGTAATGAAAACTAAAATACTCAAGAGATGTTTATTCTTGAGTGATATGGTGAGGTATAGATACACACTGGGAAAAATTTGTCTCTTATTGTTTATATTTACTAATATGGCATTAAAAGCCTACAAACAATATACTCTAGTAGCATATAATGCAGTTAAGAGCAAATCAAATATTTTGTTGCTTCTGTAATTCTCATTTAACTTCAATGCTTAATTGTCTTCAGTTCTGATACTGAAGTTGACTAAACAAAGCATCTATATGGAATAGAGTTCTGATGCAAGGTCTGTCCATAAAGAATCTGATATAGTTGCCTGCAGGGGGAAAATGTCCTTTTATCATGACATAAAAAGGGCAAACTACAGCATAGTGGTTTTCCAGAAAAACTGTATTTTATTCCCGAGGTGATATTAGTCCATAAAACAAATTTGCAGCTTATTTAGCGGCTTTAGCTTTTATCAAGCTCTTTAAGGGTGTGGAGTGATTACCCCAGAGATCACACTGCAGAAGTGGCAGGGGTCTGGAGCCCTCTCTTGTCAGCATCTGCATTAGCAAATCTAGGTGGACACATTGAATGTTGTTTGAAATGTGTCACATAAAAGATCCTGTTTAAAGGTAAGTGGTCTTCCTACAGGTGCTGGTTTTTACTTCCTTGATGCTTTTAGTGCCAAAGCAAAATGCCAAGCCTGACTTTAAAAACAATGTTGGTTCTACAGAAATTTCAGTTGTAGTGAGTTATCTTTTTATGTTTAAATTATTAGTATCTTCTTATAGAAGTCAGAATAATGCTGTATTTTGGAACCACTCTGGATGGATTTGTTTAGAACATAAAATAGAATGTCAAAACATTGACAACATTTGAGCATGTCATTTTTCAAACTGTTTCCTTTTTGGAATTTAGTTTTTATAAAACCCAATCTAGGATTTCAGGATTTAAGACTTCTCGTTCTCAACTTTTTTTTTTTTTTTTAAGATTTATTTATTTGTACAGAACTGGGGTACAGGCCAGAGATGCGGAGGGTGAGAGGATTCACCAGAGACAGAGTGGGGTGCAGAACAGGCAGATCGACGAAGTACACT